AGACGCGATCCTAGCCACAAGCTCCTCGGACTTTCCAGCAAAAAACATGTCCGTCGCGGTTGGGCCGGGGGAGATGCAGTTCACGTTGATCCCCTTCCTGCCGAGATCCTTTGCGAGCACGCGCGCCATTTGCTCGACTGCGCCCTTGGTGGAGAGGTAGAGGAGGTGTTGCGGGACGAGGTTTTGCGCCTTGGTGAGGGATGTGCTGAGGAGGATGATGCGGCCGGTGAGGGGGGCGAGGTGCGGTGCTGCTTCCTGATTCATCGTAAATATCCTTGGTTAGCATTCATCTATACATCTCGAAATTCTTTCAAATTTGAAGGATTATGATGACCAACCTTCGCCAAAAACATCGGCCCCCTCACATTCACCGCAAACGTCCTCTCGTAATCCTCCATCGTCACCTCCTCCAGGCTTATCATGGGCATGATCGCCGCATTGCACACGACCCAATCCAGCCTGCCAAACCTCTCGATCGTCTTTGCCACGAGCTGCTTCACTTCCGCGCTGTTGCCGAGATCGGCTTTGATGGCGAAGGCCCTGTCCTCGCCAATCTCGGAGACGATGGTGGCGGCGGCGATGGCGTCGGAGGTGTAGTTGATGATGACGCTTGCGCCGTCGGAGGCGAGGCGGAGCGCGATGGATTTTCCGATGCCTTTGGAGGAGCCGGTGATGATGGCGACTTTGCCGGTGAGTTGCTGGGAAGGCATTTTTGAGGATGTTTCTGGTGAGGGGTCTGTTTTGGTCGAGGCTTGTGTTTCTAGGTATAAAGTATCTGGATATCGATATTTCTGTTGATGTCAATGTCATGGATATCAGCCCTCAATTCTCGAGCGCTGAAACTTCTTCCAGTAGAAGGAATCATAAACGACTTACCTCTCTATGAATTGCCGTGTTTGGTAGTTGTAGCTACTTTCTTGTACAGCTCATTTGAATCCGGATCCCATGCTCATCTTTATACCTTCCGTATACCTTTCCTTCTACGTGTGGATTATAATCAGTTACCATGATCATCCACCCCTCTCGACCTCCAGAGATCCCTACCTAGACTCGTGCCCAGACCCTCGTAGAGGATCCCTACCTGCGCACTTCGAACTTCGAATCGGAACTGAATCTCAAAACTAACTGCAATCATTCAATATGTGTTCGAAATAGGTAAGCAGCACCGATTGATTTCCAGATCCGGTATATCGCACATAGCATTGCGCGTTCAATTGTTCAAACAAAACAAGGGCACATGAATACGTCACAGTCAGCTTGTCTAAATATGCCGCATAATCTGGCGAAGAAGAGCCCATGTAACAATACAACGCTTCACCCAAAGTGAATGGATCTCCGCCGTGGCCCTGGCCGTGCTCTGCCCTTTTTTGCGGAGGACTCTAGATCTTAACTGACTAAGAAAACGACAAGGGCCAGATTATGCGGTGCTATTACAATATTACTGCATGTATCTTTGAATATTACTGTGCATACCAGGCCTACTTGTTGCACTAGTACTGGGGTTCCTGAGTAAGTAATTACACAACAGCTGGCTCTCATGCACATGTGCAACAGCGCAAGTACGTATAGAGTACAACGACCCTGACCTCTGCTGCATCACGACCTCGGAATCGAAGACGTTGAGATGCATATGGCTGGTGCCGACGAGCCCGCCGGTGAATAACTTAAGTCCGAAGGCTCTGAAGATGAAGAGGCCGATGAGTCCATGGACGCTTCCGCCGAGCACCAGCTTGTATTCCGATGGCTCTTGTTCGCCAGATTATGCGGTATTGCATGCATTCATAATTATCTTTTTTAATTTGGCATTTTCTAATCATTTCTGGTGTGTTTTCGTTTGCTTTTTTGTGGGGGGTTTTAGGTCTCGAATTTGATTCCATGGAAGATGGCAGGCCACCTTTCATCCTTTTTCATTGGGTTCTGGCTGCTATGCTGGATACCGAAGAATTGGGCCTTGTTTTTCTTCACTCTTCTCTACTCTCAATCCTCTCTCCTCCTTCTTCGACATGCTCAAATAATTCCGCCTTCCAAACTCCGCTTTAGCTACCTTGTCGTTTTCCAAGTCAGTGAATCCAGGGTCCTCCGCAAAAAAAGGCAGAGCACGGCCAGGGCACGGCGGAAATCCATTTACTTTGGGTGAAGCGTTGTATTTTTACATGGGCTCTTCTTTCGCGAGATTATGCATATGCGGTATAATCAAAAAGGAAAAGACCAGGCACCAGATGCTAGTTTTTCTTTAAAGTGTCTGGGCCCGACCGTGGAAGAGATGTGAGAGTACAGATTAAATGCTTACCCTTCTGAAGGGCCGTATCTCAATTTCAATATTACTGTGCATACCAGGTGGGGGTCCTGGCCATGAGTGATTACTCAGACAACAGCTAGTCTCATGCACAACAACGATCACGACCTCGGAATACGGCACTGAAAGCTGAATTGCAGTGCAGTGCAGTCAAGACAAGCTCATCTCCGTATAATGCGTCATGTGGAGTTAACAGCCCCGGCCGATAGGCTCGGACGAGGTCTGGATATCGGACATACCAAGAGGTAGCTATATGACATCTCGGCCGGTGGAGGTCTAGATCGCTGCCTGGACTTTATATACCGCATACCTAAGTAATCTGGCGAGTTAGGGACTGGCCATGTCGATTTTTGAGACAGTCAAGAGTTCTCTGCAAAATAGGTCAGAGCTCGGTCAGGGCACGGCCTACTCTAAATCCATTCACGTAAGGTGAATCGTTGAAAATTTGGCATGGTCTCTAATTCTCGCCAGATTTCGCGGGTAGATTTATCTAGACTGATACGTTTCTAGAAGTAATGGCCATGGAATAATATATTACCTAAGTAGGTCTCCTCATACAACATAAAGCTATTATGCACGGAAATAATGAAGTCTGTAGCTATAGGGTCATGTACGGAACCTACCTACCTACCTCCTTCGGCATGATCACGAATATCGAATGATGGCCTCTAATATTGGATGTAATTTTAATGCAGAAAAATCAATGCAGTGTATATAGGAAATCCAAGAAGAGGAAAAAACGGTATCTATCATACATTCTCTGCCTTATAAAATCATGCAGCATCTACAGCTTACTCTTGATACCATCCACCCCATCCCTCTTCGACACGACCCCCCACGCAGCCTCAGCATACCCAGGAAACTGCCGCCCATGCTCAAACGCCTTTGCACTACTCGCCTGTCCCCTCGCCAGCCTCGCCGCAATGCCCTGACAAATCACCGATGTCTAGAATTCGTGAATATCACCATTAGTTAGCAACTTCCTCCCTTCAACCAGCAACACCCTCTCTCTCCCAAAGAAAGCTTCATGGAAATACATACCCTAAACAACGTAAACCCCTCCCCAAACCTCAACATCTCCCTCAACCCCTCCCTCCCCCCCGCCCACCCCTTCTCCCCCCCAACCGCATGCCAATACCACTCCACCAGCACCTCCTTCCTCGGCAACCCCAGCACCCGATCATCCAGAAACTCGGCCCTCTCCTTCCTCCTCCCCGCTTTCTCGATCGCACTCTCATCAGACACATACTCCACGCCCTCCCTCGCCAGCACCCACGGCATCGTCAAGTTACACAAGTCGCTCAACGGATGCCCAATCGTACTCAACTCCCAGTCCAGGATCCCGATAACCCGGGGCTCGGTGGGGTGGAAGACGAGGTTATCGAGTTTGTAGTCCCCGTGGATGATACATGCGACGTCTTTGACGGGGGTGGTCTGGAAGTAGTGCACGAGGGAGTCGAAGTTTGGGAGGGGCCCGACGGGGACCTGGGTGGTGATGTCGGCGACGAGGGATTGCGAGTGCGAGACTGTGGTCAGGGTTTTGATTTGCCGCGGGTAGAAGGAGTTTGGTCTCCCGAAGGTTGTGAGGTCGTGGCTGCCTTCGAGGGAGATTGGGGTTGAGTGGAGTTTTGCGAGGGTTTGGATTGCGGATTTCCACCTGTTTGCCGGAAAAATGGGAAATTAGAATTTGGGATGTCGGTTTGGAAAAAACTAAAGGATTCTGGATGGGGAGGGTTGTAGAGGGACTCACATTAACCTCCGGTCCATCTCCGTCACCCCCGGGATACTCGGGTTAGAGAATATCCTCCCATCCAGATACTCCATGATGTAGAACGGCGTCCCAATCACCGCGACATCCTCGCACAGCCCATATACCTTCGGCGCTGGGACATCCGTCTTCTCCAGCGCCTTGATCACGCGGTACTCCCTCTCGACCGCATGCGCCGTCTTGCTCAGCAGGACTCCCGGGGGCTTCTTCCGGAGGACGTAGCGCTGCTTTGTGGCGGTGGAGGTGAGGAGGTATGTTGGGTTCGATTGGCCGTATCCGAACTTTAATATTTGTGCGATATCGTTAGCTATATATCTAAACAAAGCAACACCTAATATCTGAGTTGGTATGCATACCTGCTGAACGTCAATCGGCGTCGCGATCTCCGGGAAATTTCCCTGGATGTAGCGCGTGAGCGCGGGGATATCGATTTCCTGCCGTATTGGGCCCGCCATTGCGATAGATTCGGGTCTGGGAGTTCACTGAAGAGCTTTTATTTTTTTTTTATTTTCTGTCAGGTGTGTGCTGAGGGCCAAATCTGTAGATATCCAAACAGGCGATAGCTCCTGCGTCGAAGTTGTAGCAACTTGGTATGGATATGAATCGTATGCTGAAGTTGAATGAATGCAGTCGACCGCTGGTTGTCGTCGAGGTATCCCGAGGTAGTGAATGTAAAGAGCTCTAGGAAATGCCGATTGTTGTCGGAGGTCGATCTTCTTCAACCCACTCCGCCCTCCTCCCCGAGATCGTCAAGCTCGTGCCTACCTCCGACCCGTAAGCTTGTCCCTTGCTAGCTCTCCCGTGGTAATAACCTGGGGGAAGTGTCGAGTCTAACCTCGGACAGCCGAGGCTGTTGCCATGCTGCGGTAGCCGAGAGAAGCAACAATTCATGGATGTTGTCATGGGCCGGCAACCAAGAGGACTGACATCCAATTCGGTTGAATGGTGTAATGGTAGCACATAAGATTCTGACATCGGAATATTCTTGTGACCTGGGTTCGATTCCCAGTTCGACCTTCATTTTTGCTTTTTTCCCCTTTCTGCAACACCTTTCATGAATTTTTGAGAATAGATATATCGAGATGGAGTCATGAATGGGAGTGATATAATGGTATGTTATTCAATTATGAGAATTTGGATTGTTTCCTAAGGCGGCGTAGTGCTACCCACGAGTTAAGGCCGTGAAGGGGGGGGGTATTCGCAATAATTTGTATCATTTATTCATATTTCAAGTCCCATTCCACATGTTCATCGTTCATGAAACTTCCGCACTTGGCATATAAGGTATACTCCTTTAAAGCTTAAGTACTATATATCTCGTACCCAAACAGTGCTCCCTCTGACCAACCAACTTATGCATCGGCAGCCTTATTCCCACCCAACCTCTCCCACTCCTGCTTCGCCTCCTTCTCCCAATCCGGCCTGGGCAACTCATACCCCTCTGTGGTCCTACTATACGAAATCCCGCCCAACCTACTCACCGGCCTCAACAGGTTCGGATCAATCATATTCCCCTCTTTATTCACCACATCCTCGCGCACCCAAAAGTTGACACCCTGGATCAAGCACGTCACCCCAGTCTTCTTGCCACTCTGGGGACTCGTCCACTCATGGTGCGTCAATAACCTTCCTTCGATGGAGAACGCGCTCTCCAGGACTCTGGGGGGCTTAACATTCGTCGATGGGGCGGGGGTCAACCCTGCGAGAGTCCACTCCGATACCCCCGGGGGTGCGTTCACGGAGGTGTAATTCGCAGCCTCAACGAACCACTCGCTGATGATGTTGATTGTGCATTCACCCGTGTCGAGGAGGTTCTGGCAGCTGTCCTTGAGGTTCCCGGTGCCGCCGGAGAAGCCGACGCAGAAGATGGGCGGGTCGTGGTTGACGATGGTGGTGTAGCTGAACGGCGCGAGGTTACTCGTTCCGGCGGGGGTGAGGGTGCTGAGGAAGCCGATGGGGCGCGGAATGATGCCGGAGATGAGGAGCTTGTAGTTATCGACTGGGGAGCGGCCGGGCATGTATGGGTTTATTTCGCGGTGGGGGATGGTGGAGGCGGCGGAGGGCGCGGGGGAGGGGGTGCCGGGGGTCCATGCTGGGACTGGGGATTTGGTGAAGAGGAATTCGGCGGTGTCGGGGAAGGGGGGGCGGGTGGATTCGACTTGTTTGAAGTTTGGCTGTAAGGCGGGAGGTTCGGTGGTTAGTGTTCAGTTTGAAGACGGAATGACGGAACTGTGGATGTGAGCTTACATGAGGGTTCCGTTTGATCAGTGCTTCTGCGTCTGCACGAGTTGCACCTGCGGAGAAGCTGTTCTCGACATTACTCTCCTCCGCCTTTGGGGTGCTGCTAGAACTAGCGATATCTTCTGGCATGTTTTCTGTGGCTTTGGGGGGTTTCTTGTGACGTTTTGATGAGGTGCTGGGAGAAGATCTTAAGTCTATGGATTGTGGTATCTGCTTGGATGCGGGTACCTGCGGTGTTGCAAGGGACGCCAAGCTGGAGAATGTACTTGGTCTCGTGAAGAATGATGTGCAGGAAGTTCGCAAAGAGGAAGTTCGGCTCAACGTTCGGTAGAGGAGAGGAAGGAAATATTGCGGCATGCCACGGTTTGTGAAGGAGCGGAGGGGTCGGATTTATATAAAAAGTAGAAGTTGGATCCGGGAGGACTCAATTAAAAAAAAAACTGCAATATAACGAAGAGGCATAACTAGAGGTACCGGTACATTCGAAATCTAGCACTTGAATTACAATTGCGCAATTGACCACTAGTTTGGGATTAGATTCAGTGAAACTGGACAAGATCTACCCCAAATCCGGATCCCGCTTGCTGAGCAATTGCTGAGAAAATTGTGAATAGTTACTTCTTAGCCTCGACCCTACAAGATACTTCGAACTGCAGATAGAGCTACCCGCCTACCCGTCCTATGAGACTAACCGGCACTTATCCGATTTATCCACTTACATTTAAATGCACACCTACATATGTATATCAGTGATTATGAATATACTATTCATCCTTACAAAGCTTAAATTGAGATACCTTGCGTACACTGCGGAGAACTGCATCCATAGCACTCCGCATCCGCTACATCCCATATTGATTTCCACCCCGCATCCAAAGTGGGGGTGACCTTAAGATGCACGTGCACGCATATGCACCTGAATATGCATTGCATATCCAGATGCAGTGTTGCATATGCGGCATATGCAAGCAAATGCGCCAAGGTAGACTAGCGGCTAGCGTGATTAGTTCGGTAAGTCTATTTTGGGATTGACTTTTGTCGCGCTTGCTTGAGCTTACTGCCCAGCTCCGACCTTGGCCATGGCCAACCATACGAGGTTTTATGTCTACAATTCTTACCCAGGCGCTATTTTTCTGGAACGAGGCTGGCTATACGTACTTCCTTCGGGGTTCATGAGCAATTTTAAGTCTCCGGTGGGCGCAACTGATTTGCTTTTCGTGAATTGATGGCTCGAGTCTCATGCCGAAATTCCGATACTCGGGATCGAATTACTTGCAGTTAGCTGCACCAGACTAAGTTAGCTGTACAGCTTCCTTCGAACTCCTCTTGCGCCCAGTCATATTTTAAGTACCCTCTGTTTCTTTTTCCATGGCCATATGCATGTTGCTCATTTCTCGGTTTAAATTGAGTTTTGGCCTTGTTATATTCCGAAGGATCGAATGCTATAGCTAACGGTTCTCGAGATTTGACTTGAAATATTGGCCACGACAGTGAATCGTTGGCGGAGGAGATGTTTCGAATACGCCGTAACACTGCCTTTGTTCTCAAGTCATGGGACTATAGAAATAATTGTGGAATTGAAGGACTATTTCCACCGCCACCTTTCGTGGTAAGAGGCTGAACCACAAGTTCCTTTTGAACTCAAAGCTACCTGGTAAGTCACCGCTGATAATAATGCATACGGAGCATTGCGCACGTGTGGGTGGGTGGGTGGTATATATTTAACAAATATCGAACGTTCAACTTGCTGACCACGCTGACGGGCCACTAACTCTTCCTTTCTTCCAGAACGTTTCAAGAAGCTCTAGCTAGCACCGCGTAGCAAACCCTCCACGGCCACCGCGCCTCATGTCATCATGAACCCTGTCGTCCCACACTGCACAGAACATTCCGAGCGCCTGGGTATCACTTTCGATGGATCCCATATAACCCTTCGTCCTCGCAATGTTTGGCCCGTTTTAGAGATTCCTTTCATCGAGGTTTCCCTGGTCATCTTCTTCTTTCTCCTTCCCTCCACCCCCCCTTCCTAAAACCGTCTCTTTTTTTTTGTGTTTGTAGTGTCTGTGGGAGTAGTGAGCTTGATTGCCAAACTACCATTCCACTTTCGCACATTCTGAGAAAAATTTGAACGAGCTTCAATTCTTTTTTCTGATTGATTAGGCTTGCAGGATTGATTGAATCGATTCTCGTCTACATCTTTTGCACGGCCCCTTACTGACTTGCAAGTTTTTATATTATTTTTACTTTTTACTTTCGATACTTTCTTTGCAACTATTTTTTTGCAATCAGTTCAAGTCAGTGACTTTAAGCATCGGCCGGGAGCCACTTCACCCAATACAATATCGACTACTATACAAAAGAAACGGAATTAAACAAAAGGGAATAGGAAAAGGAAAAACAAGATGCATTTCTCTACAAGATCATTTGCGGTGATGCTGTTTGCAATGGCATCGCTGTCATGGGCAATCCCACTGCCCCATCCGGAAGGTGGCGGGTTCACAAAGACCTTGAGTCGAGATCTTGGAAACCACCTGAAGCGAGCAGATATCCGATCAGGGACCTGCGACCGGCCAAAGACCTATCGGAAAGCATGGTATGTGTTCTCCTCATCCCCTATGGTTCCTGGTTCACCAGATTGCTAACATATATTCTCCCTCTCCAGGCACCATCTCACCGCCGCCCAACGAAAAGCATACATTGACGCAGAAGTATGCCTGATGAAACTCCCCGCCCGCCTCTCCAAAGTCCATCCGAGCGTCAAAAGCCTCTTCGACGACATGCAAGCCGTCCACCAAGTCCAATCCCCCTGGATCCACAACAACGGCTGGTTCCTCCCCTTCCACAGATACCACATGTTTGCCCACGAGACGCTCCTGCGCGAGGCATGCAACTACACCGGCGGCCAGCCCTACTGGGACGAAGCGCGCGACGCCGGCAAGTTCTCGCTGTCGAGCATCTTCGACCCGGAAACGGGGTTCGGCGGGTCGGGGGATAAGAATAACAAGAATTGCATCTCGGATGGGCCGTTCAAGGACTACACTCTCGTCATGGGCCCCGGATACGAAAACACCACGCACTGTCTCGAACGATCACTCAATAACACCGCATCGCTCATGTCCGAGCAGCGGAACGTGGACGCATGCATGAAGCATACGGAATTCAGCGCCGCCTGGCCCTGCCTCGAGGATCTCCCTCACCGTGGAGGCCACAACTCCGTTGGTGGGGAGATGGCGAATCCGATTTCAAGCCCTGGGGATCCATTGTTCTACATGCACCATACGTATGTGGATAAGTTGTGGTGGGAGTGGCAGCAGGGGGATCTCGAGAAGAGGTTGACTGATATTGCTGGTATGACGACGACGAGGAAGCCCGAGAGTGGGTGGGTGAAGGCGAGTTTGAATGATACGTTGACGTCGTATGGACTTGTGCCGGACCTGAAGATTGGGGAGATTATGGATATTGAGGGGGATAAGTTGTGTTATGATTATTTCTGAGGCGGAGAGATAGTTGAATTTTGTTTTCATTGTGTTCTTTCTCTTCTTTTCGTTCCTTTTCTTTATCTTCCTACTTCACTTTTTGGGGCGCATTATATAAACTTTACACTTTGGTTGCATACATACATATAATTTCTTTTGTCTGTCTTCTCGACTTTCTACTCTCATAGGGTTTTCCTTTTTTTTCCTTATTCGAGCATATCCCTTAATATACATACACATCACATCAAGTACAATATCAATCATATACCCACTTTTTTCAGCACGTTGATACCCAAGAAG